TAAAAAAAAAAAAAAAAAAAAAAAAAAAAATCATCGATTTTTCCAACTACAGTATGCAGGAAAAACTAAAAACAGGTGGGAACTACCTCCTGTCTTGAGAAGCATGAAGCAGCTGCCCTTTTCCAAATCTATGTAACACTATGTTTGCAGGGTTTGTGATGACAATAACGATATTTGTTTAACAACCTACATATTTAATGACTGGACATTAAACCCAGGTGCACTGTTCAAATTTATGACTCACTTTTTTTTTTTTCTTGGTACAGTTCTACATGTCTGGTTAACAGAGCCTCAGTATCATTTTTTTGTACAGACACCTGTTCATACAGTGCTAAAATGTTTGCTGGTTGTACTGTACAGTACTGTAGTTCTATGTTGTTAGGCATTTACAATGCTGCATGTGGCTATACAAACAAAAGTCATAAAGCTCAAGTTTCCTTTAATCATTTATTTTGAATATTGTAATGTATACACTATATACAATTCTTCATTTAGCGACCAAATTCAACCATGCAGAACTGTAACTTGGTCATTAAATGAGGAAAGGTCTATACTCTAATTCATATAAGACTCAATTTTTTGGGTAAATTAACTATCTTTTTTGGGAGGAGTACCAGGGATCAACCTCAGGTCCTTATGCTTGTGAGGCAGGTGGTAGAACCACTGAGCTTAATCCCTGGCCCTCAATTAAATATCATTAACTAGATATCATTCACTAATTTTTCCCTCTTATTCCTTTCCCAGTTAGGTATCTCACTTAATGTTAGCAGCTCAGGGAGAAACTGGGATCTTCTCTTTACATCTCATGCCCAAATGTACAACCAGTTCTATCAATTTTACTTCACAATTTCATTGTTTTGTGTCTAATACTAGTGACACTATGTAGGGTATAATATCTTCCTTTTGTGGATTGCTACTGGTCAAACATTTTGAACTTCTTACTGGACACCTGCCAATCCTCTTCAATTTAACTTTTTTCACAACCGCTATAATGATATAATGATGTGTATAATGATAATGAATAAAAAACAGAAGCTTATCGCTGAATGAACTGTGTCACCAATGTCTAAAGTGATAGGAAAAAAAATTCAAATTTCCTAGAATTGATCTTGAATATTGCCACTTACTTTGGGAATGCATCAAAACAGTAGGTCTTCTTGGTATCAGGAAAAGCAACTCGCATTCCTGAGGTCAAAGGAGAATGAAGAATAACAGCAGCACTCTCATACCGAGCAGCAAGATCTACAGATGGTACTGTCCCTATACTTTGGCCATATATAATCACATTTTCAGGACGAATGCCATACCTGCAAAATTCAGAAGATTTAAAAAAAAAAAGTTGAACTGGAAGAAAATGTCACATCATTTCTAAAGATTTAATATTAGAACAATGTAGGATGAGACAATATTAATTAATTTATGATTAAAAATTGTTTCCCAGTTATCAACATTAATTTTAATTCTACAATAAGCTCTATAATGTAAGCTTATTTCATCTTTTACCTTTCAGAAACAATTGTTGATATTGTTTAAAATTTCAATCTTCAAAAATGTACTACATCACTTGTTATACTCTAGTAATTCAACCTAGTATACTGTTGACTAAGTCTGGCATACATCAGATAACTACCCTGTGTGTGCGCACGCGCACACACTACTGGACACTGAATCCAGGGTCTTGAGCACAGTAGTCAAGCGCTCTACCACTGAGTTACATCCTGGACTTTTATTTATTTATTTTGAGTACCGGGGATTGAAGTCAGGTCCTTGCGCTTGCAAGGCAGGCAGCGGAACCTCTGAGCTAAATCCCTGGCCCTCATCCTGGACTTTTAAATTTATGTTTTGAGACAGGGTCTCAACTAAGTTGGCCAGGATGGCCTTGAACTTGCAATCTTCTTGCCTTGGTCTGCCAAGTAACTGGGAATACAACTGTGTGCCAAGAGGCCCAATTATATCACTAATATTTTAATGGACTAGTGTTTAATGTATATTTAGTGCTCATTTTTCACTCAATATAACAAAAGTTATTTCTCCAGACACTGAGAAAGGCTCATTTTTATTTTCTAAACTGGTTATACTGATGAAATGCTACATAAGACTATGTATGAAATGAATACAATAACAATGCAGTTCAGTTATGACTAGACTTCCAATAGTAACATTTTACTCCCTTAACACTGACTGCTAGAGATTTAAATACAAATTTACTGACAAATATTACTGTTATTTGGCCTTTCTACTTAGCTGGCAGAGAGTAATCAGTTCTGGTAGTTAAGAGCCATTTGCAAAGCAGCTTCTAGACCTTTAGACAGGTAAGAGAGCTTTCTGAGAATCTGAACATTCACTAGGAAAGAGCAGGGCAAACTATATACATGTTCTCTTCCAGGAAAAGATTATGTGAACTATCCTGATAATAATACTCCTCACAATAGTTTCTTCTAATCAGTCCTACACAAACATTTGGGGTATAATCTAAGGTGGGGTTCCATCTAGTCCTAATTTACTCAATGTGACTGAACTCAGAAAAGCCTTTTTTCCTTTACACAGAAAGAAATTGGGAGAATGAACATTACCAGCACTGGCACAACTCCACACTACATTATTGTTAAGAGGTGAACAATAATTGCTGGTGGCAATTATGGGTTTTTGGCTAAATATGGCAATGGCAAAACTCTAGAGCAGGGTTGGTGAACCTATGGCATTCATGCCACAGCAGGCTGCTTATTACTCAAAGCACTAAAAGGTTCACCAGCACTGCTCTAGAGAAACAGGGTCAGGTGCCAATGAAGCATCAGATAACTAAAAGCAGTAACAGTTTCAGACAGTATAAATCAGAAGGACTTTTGTGACCATCAATCTAGTTGACTGTATAGAGATGCTCAAAGTCACAATAAATTAATGATAGAGCTATAATGAGGACCAGATATACCAACTCCCAGGCCAGCGCTCTTTCCATTACAACACTGAGAGCTTAAGAATTGTTGAAGACCACATAGTGAACATCAGGACCTTATTTTCTTTTTTGGTTCATTAGAAGGTCAGAAACTGGGTTATTAGGCATATCAATTTTTCTGAAAAGGAGATCATTCAAATAATAATTACTTAAATTCATTATTTCCCTCTTATTACTTAAGCCTTAACTTTGATTAAGAAAAAGAATTATAAGTCACATATTCCAAATAGGCACACCACACACACACACACACACACACACACACTCTTCATAACTGAAAATTATCTGGAAAATCTTACCTAACCTTTTTAAACACATGAAGACACAGGCTCAGAGAACTTAATATATTTCCCAAGACCACTTAATCTTTCTAACTTCCAATTGTATTTAGGGTGCAACATGAGGGTAGAAGATACAGAATTGCTAAGAGTCTAAAGGATGATTTAAATTTATGCCGTCTTTGTTTCTTATTAATAATGATCAAATATGTGAAAAAAAATCAAGACTGGGAATCATCTTATAAAGTTTTCTTTAAATGGATATCCAACAAGAAAAAGAAAAGCTGATTAGATTTTTAAAATAAACATAGAATACTGAATATCATGTTTTGTTTCAGTAAAATTACCCTTTTGTGTTGCTTAGAAGTACTAATAATAAGACTGTTTTACCTTAGCAACTTTAAGCAATATTATTTCACTGATATTAAACTTTAAAAATATAATCTTTACGACAAATTGTTTTAAAACCACTAAATGATTTTTACCATTCTCTTTTAACTCCTTACTACTATTTTAACTCTTCAAATCTACATTTTCATTTAATTTTAATTAGAAATCCCTGTATTCCCTCCCGTTTCCCCCCTGGTATTGGGGACTGAGCTCAGGTAGCACCCGACTACATCCTCGGCCTTTGAGTTTTTGAGACAGGGTCTTGGTAAATTGCCCAGGCCTTCCTCAAAGTTCCTCAGACTACTGAGCACCCAGGATTACAGACATAGGTACCACACAGAGCTAGTAATACTTTGTATAGAATTTTGCTGAAAGCGTAATTTTTACACTTTTGGAAAAGGAAATATTTTTAAAGACATCTTCTAAAACAGGTTATGCCTATTATAAAATTAAAGACGTTCTCTTTGGCACCAGTAATAAACATTAAATTATAAACAATAAACTTTTATGTCTTCTAGTTTACACTTAACAGAGAGCTTATGACAACTTATGCTAAGATACCTATCTATTTATTGAACTAATCAAAATTAATCTGATTCCTGAGAAAACACACTCAACTCTACAAAATAGATAGTTTTCAAGGAAAATTTGTATGTATCTTGGGGACTAGGAAAATTTAATGTTTCTTTTTTTGTTTCGTCTTGTTTTTTTGTTTTTTGAGACAGGGTCTCACTATGTACTTCAGACTGAACTGGAACTCACTATGCAGCCCAGGCTGGTCTTGAACTCACAGCGATCCTCCTGCCTCTGCCTCCCGAGTGCTGGGATTACAGGCATGAGCCACCATAATGTTTCTTTTCTTTTCTTTTTTTTGGTACCGGGGATTGAATTCAGGGCCTTACGCTTGCAAAGCAGGTGGCAGAACCACTGAGCTAAATCCCCAGCCCGACTAGAAAAATTTAATGTAATTTCCAGTCTCCAAATGTATATTCTTTTTATAATCCAAAAATAATTGACAAAATAATAAAGTTTTGTCACATAATTTATCAAGACATTACTTAAAAAAAAACAAAAACCTGAAAACTGCCTTTCTAAATTTTAGGAGTCCACAATGTAAGGTAAAATCTCATCAAAATAAAAACAATGTTAATATTCCAGTACAGTCTATTTAAATCACATTGCCCACAAAATAATTATATAAAATAATAAAGTGTCTCAATAATGACAGATCAAGTGAATGGTCACTTAAATTTATCATCATTTTCTCTAATTTCCCTGAAAGGCTACAACTGTGAACAAACATTAGGATACTACACTTCAATAAGTGGGTTCATCAAACCAAACATTTAACATTTAAAAACTTTAGGTCATACATACACACATGCATTAATATATATGTATACTAACCTTAGCTGTCTTAAAGAGGTTTTTTTTGGTTATTATATAAAATTTTGAACTATAACCTAAAAGTTTAATGATTACTAAGTATATATTTATAAATAAAATCTTTCAATAGTAGTTCAAGGCATGTATAATAAAAATAATTTTTATACTATTTTAATGTAGTACAGTTTTGGGTAACTACCATAAATGTGAAAAATACTTCCCAATCACAAAGTACCTTGTCCTCAGAGCAAGCCAAGCAGCTTCAATATCCGCATATAGGTTCTTCTCTGTTGGTTTTCCAGAACTTGCACCATATCCAGAATAATCATATGAGAATATATTACAATTAATCCGTGATCCCAGTCCTATGTAAAAGCTGCTCATTTGACCAAGATCAACAGCATTTCCATGTGAGAAGAGTAAAGTGTATTTGGCGTTGGGTGAGCAACGCACAAACATACAGGCAATTCGGTTGCCTTTACTGGTTCTAGTCATGAAACATTCAATAGCATCTTTTTCTCTAGAAGAGTATTGCCAGTCAGCTCTTTCTGAGAGATGTAAAGTCCAGCGGCTTCCACTTTCATCGCACATCAGTGTGTAAGTTGGATCAGGTGGCAAAAATGCTAATTTTGAAGCAATTTTCCCTGGGCAAGGTGGACAGCAGAAGAGGCAACATAGCTCACTAAATGAAAGATTATTCATCCTCTGAAAAATAAAAAGAGAAAGCAAAGGTTTTTAATAACTGAATGTGGATTCTACATTCTTGTACAATGGGTTAAAATAAAGGCATGAGTAATTACTATTGGTGGTTAATGTCTACTACAATTTCAAGTACCTGCCTCAACAGATCTTGGTGTCTTTCTAGAAATACATTAAATCCTGGAGTGAGGCAAATACCCCTAGCCAGTAGATAAAACTCAAACACTGTGCTTCAAACAGAAGTGATTATTATACATAACAAAAATGTGAAAGATAACAGATATAATCACATAAATTATCTTTAGATTATCTTGTAATTTTTGTGTAACTCAATAAAGATTATCAGAATCTCATGAAGAAGCTAGGGATTATATGATAAGTAAATAAACAAAGTACAGAAGGTGAAGCAGTGGTAGAGCCACAATTTGATGCAAGTCACCCCTACTCTCATGCAAGCAGATTCCAAAATCCTACTTGTGGGAAAGCAGCCTTTCATTCTATCACAGTAAGATGGTTCAAATAACCTATAAAATGTAAAAAATATATGTATGTTGACATGTATGCATGTATATAATTATTGCCCACACTAAAAAAAGGCTAAAATTTGAAGTCAGTTATGAAAAAGAAAGGCTAAATTTCCTCATGTTGGATGAAGAACACAAGATTAAAGTCAGAGAGCTGGGGTGGAATCCCATTTTAACACTAGCTTTGTCTCCTTGGGCAAATTATTTACCTCTTTGATTTTCTTCATAGGTAAACAAGGCCAGTAAATACCTACACTGAACATAGTGGTTGTGAAGATCAAATGTCAGGGAGGTATACAATCCAGTAGTAATAGCCATATGGTTGGCACATTCAAGAATGGTCTTCCTCCCATTTTTTTTGGGGGGGTACTATATTTGTAAAGTATCTACTGTATTAACTTGGGCAAAAACAAACAGTATTTATTTTTGCACCATCAGCATTTCTATTTTATCCTTTCTCACACTCTCTTTTTAGCTGACATAGACTGTAGCTTAATTCTACTAAGAGGGCATTCAAAATAATTACTTAAAGGTTTGATAGCACACTAAACTTTCTGCCAAGTAAAAGACAGGAAAAATTATACATCATTATATTGAGAAATTTCCTTAGGAGAGCAACTAAAGGGTTGAGATATTTAAGAAAAGAACATCCTGATGGGTATGGTGGCTCATGCCTGTAATCCCAGCACTCAGAGGCAGAGGCCAGCCTGAGCTACATAATGAGTTTAGGGTCAGCCCGAGGCCTGAACTACAAAGTGGGACCCTGTCCGGGGGGGGGGGGGAAACCCTGAAAAAAGAGAAAAGAACATCCTTTTCACTCACCAATGAATGAAAATAGATTCTCTGAGACTCAATATGAATGTGTTAATTTCTCAGAGCAAACACACCAGGTAGAAAGCAGAAACAGCACAGGAAGAGAGCTAAGTACAACATGAAGGACTTTAAAACATGAGCAGGGAAAGCGTCTTGAATATCAAAAGCACTTTTGCTTGCTATTCCACCTTTATTTCTTTTTAGCCTTCAAAGTAAGTTGGAACAAGAATCAGAAGAGAAGTCAAAACTAGGCATCACACCTCTAGGTGCTAATGTGACTTGGCTTCCTGAAATATGACGATGAGGATGATGAGGGCATATGCAGGGCAAAGGACACAAAGAATGTGTAACGAGTGCCACAGCCAGGTGTGTTATCACTGAAAGCTCTACAAGGTCTGCCATCACGGGTGCCCACGACAGAATGTGACTATCTTGCAACAGGAAGATTTTAAAAATCTGATGAAGATGGCAGAGAAAGGGTCTGTTTCAGGAGATGACCTGGAGGGGCATGGGGGGAAATAAGGTAGAAGTACAATATATCAACGTTCTATTTAGTAACTGACTATGGTTATTTCTCACTCTATATTCCTTACATGCTGTAACTACTGACCCACGACTGCTAATTAAAAGCTTTATTAGTAAGTAAAGTGCATATAGCTAGAGTATGTTCCTATAATTTAGCACCAAGACATGAAGACATATACACTGTAATAAACCAGTTCAGAAATAAACCTGCCGACTGAACATAGGTAATGGCACAGAGATTCTTCTGCAGATAAATACCAAAGAAGCAAAAAAGGAAAATAGCTGTCTGTAGTGCCAGGGTCTTAGCCAGTGAAAATAACACGACCTTCTTCATGATGGCAGAAGAAAATCATTCCCATGTCCACTGTCGCAAAGTGAGCTAACTGGGACCCATTCAATGAAAGTCATAAAAGATAACAAATTCAATAACTTACAGAAGCAGCAAAGGATTTAAAATAAGATGAGAGAGGGAGAGGGAGAGGAATAAGGAGAGTTTTCAGAAAAGGCGGCAAGCAGGCAGATGAGAAATCCCCAAATATGCAATTTGGGGGAAGATAATGAAGAAAGAGAGAAAAGAGAAAATCAAATTTTATATAAGGAGGTTGAAAGTAGAGAGAGCAATATCCACACAAAGAAGAGGTCTCAGGAAAGGCTGAGTTTCTTAGAATTAAAGATACCAATTCAGACTGAAATAGTTCAAAGGGTGCCAAACATGGGGTAACTCTCATGGCTAGACACTTTTTGGTAAAAATGAAAAACATTAGGAATAAAGAAAATTTTACCCTTAAATTTTTCTACCAAGATAGAAATTACTTACTAGAGAATTAAAATTTTTCATTTTTCAATAGCAACACCTATAATAAAAAAGGTGATTGTCTAGAGCTGTGAAGGATGAGTGAGCTGGGAAGTAGGGACTAAAGGATATGAAGTATCTTTAGGAGATAATGTTGAAATGAAAATGTAAAACTGATTTAGTAATGTTTGCACAAGCCTGAACACATTCATTAAAAATCTCTGAGGCGTGCATTTTAAATGGGTGAATTCTACAGTATGTGAATTTTATCATAATAAAGCAGTGAAACACAGGCAAAAATCTATGAAAAACTAATTTTGAAAAGAAAAAGCAGGGCTAGGGATTTGGCTCAGTGGTTCTGGTGCCTGCCTTTCAAGCACAAGGACCCGAGTTCGATCCCCAGTACCAAAAAAAAAAAAAAAGAAAAGAAAAAGCAAAGATATATATGTATTGTGCAAGGTAACTGGGAATTTTCCCTCCCAGATAAGTAGACAGACTATACCACATTACAGTAATAAAGAAGATTTAGGCTAATTCAGAAAGACTTACTAACAAAAGACAGCTTAATGGACTCACATATGAACAAGAATATGGTAGGGCATGGCAGGTTTCAAAGCAGGAGGAAAAGGATTCTTTAGTAAAATACGTTGGGAAAACTTACCACCTAAATAGTAGTTTTATCCCTATCAATATATGACAAACTTCAGACAGATTACAGACTTAAAGAGCAAACCTACAAAAGCTTAAAATTACATACACACAAAATCAGATATATCTTTAATCAAATGAAGGATACCTATTCAGAAAAGCAAGCCTGAGAAAGACTTCATCACCCAAAACTAATGCAGATAAATACTTAAAGTATGAGGGGGCTAGGTATGTGGTTCAGTAGTAAATGGTTGTATAGCATAAGCAAGGCCTCGGGTTCAATCGCCTGAACCGTAAAAATAAGTAAAATAAAAAATGAGAACCTCTGCAGAAGCAAGAGGAAAAAAATAATAGGTAACCCAAGATATGTCATGTAAAGGTACAAGATCCAAATGATAAATGTAACTGTACTATATATTTAAAAAGTACCAATAAACAATAAGGAAAAAATTTATACTAAAAAAAAACAGGCAACTTGAAAACACAGAATTCACATGTGTAACAAATATGAGGGAAAGACTCACCTCACCATTAGAAATGCAAAAAATAGTACTTCAGAACTACAGTAAAAACAAAACATACAAAACTGAGTAATATTCAGTAATGGTGAAAATAGGAATCTTTGTGAAATGCTGGTAAGTCGTCCTACAAGAGAGTAGCTAAAAATTCTACCCTTGAGTAAGTCCAAAGAAACTTGTATAGTTTCATAAGGTAACAAGTGGGTACCAGAGTACTCACTGCCACGTTATGACTGATCAGAAGCAACACAAGATGCCATCAGTGGGGAAATGGTGTTTGATGCAGATAATGGAATATTATTTGTAGTCAGAAAGATGACTTGGATGGCTTAAGCTTGTAGCTAAATCCGCTCTCACAAGCACCCGCCTCACAAGCACAAGGTCCTGAGTTTGATCCCAGGTACCACAAAAAACAAAAACAAAAACAAGCATATCAAAATATATATTTATGCAAAGGGAAATAAAGATGGAGGCTGAAGAAAAAATACAAATTAAATTAACAAGGACAGAGCCAATGCTCAGACTGATGTATTCTTGGTAGCAACCATCACAGCTGCCTGCTTACAAATAAACCTATAGTGCCAGAGTTCCTAAAGCACAGAAAGATTTCTAGTATTTGTAATTAATGAGTTAGCAGATTAGTTAAGATTATTTCAACTCTTTGTGTCTAAGAAGCTTCCACAAAAGTAGTGGGGAGAAGGAAAGAAAGGAAGCAGGGGGGAGGAAGAAGAAAAAAACCCACTAACCTTATTTTCTTACATGGGGACAAAAGAGAAGCAGTCAAAATCTCTGAAATTGAGTGTTGCGGATTAGGAGCACATAGAAGGAAATACATTGTTAGTACTAAAATTGTTCAGTGCATTATGAAGAATAGGACAATCTTCCAGGAAGCAGGAAATCTTGCCCTTCTTGACATCAACACACAAAATGAAAGGTCATTTCACTTTAAACAGATGGCCTATTTAGCTTTTCCTTTGTATGTTCTAGGTCAAGTGCTCTAAACTCTGAGCTACAACTCAACCCTACAGAGGATACTTGGTTATTTCACTTAGAGCAAGAGGGATTTCCTAAAATTATATGAAATAATTTAAAAACCCGTTTCTCTTGGTTAACTTTTTCTTGTTCAATAACAAAGGAAAAGGATGAACAGATTTTTCCTCCAGAGTACAGGAAGACTAATGTTAA